AAAATAACAGCACGCGTGGCTTGACGATTGCATCTAGCATGGCACAGACTGTAGCCTCTAAGTGTTGACTTCTATGTTTACTTTTATATTTACACACGCTCTATCTCTGATATTGAGCACTCTGTCCCATAAATATAGCACATCTTAAGACTATATTTCTTCATATATATATATATATGTATATAAACTTCAAATCATATTTATGTGTGGGTCCTAAAAAATTGCACAAACTTTGATTTATTCATATCAACATTGTTTAAAAAAATGACTTGATTAATATTAATAATAAATCTCTATCTATAAAAAGCAGGATATGTGTGTGTGTGTGTGTGTGTGTGTGTAACGAATGCACAGCCGCAATTTTCGACGGATTTACACCAAAATTTACATACACATGCTCCAAGTTAGCGACAAGGCCAAGACCGACGTTGCATTTCCCAACTCCCGTCGATAGTAGAAATAATCGATTTTTCATGCTTCTATGGCAGTTTTCATGTAGTTTGCGGCCATTTTCTACAGGCCAGAGGGAGAGCCTATAGCTGGCTGCCACGAATAGGGCAAGAATATTCGCCAGCGTGAGAGCCAACAGTTGACTGACACGAATGTTAACTAGCATGCTAGCATGCAAAAAATGTCGATAGCTGCATTCGTCACAAATGGGAAAAATTTTGTGTTCCTTTTGTTTAATTCTTTTTTCGTAACAGATTTAAAAGGTATAGAGCTTAGAAGAAATTCGCAGCGTGAGATTGGCAAGAAGTAAGGCATGTAGCAACTTCAAAAAAGGGCATTTTTTAAAGGCAAGGAAGGGCAAAAATATTTTAAGTCAAGTGATAGCGATTGCTATATGAGTCGTACGATTTTTGAATCAAGCACGGGCAACGCCGGGCCATGCCTCTAGTCATCAATAAACCCACGAAAGCACAATTACTAAGTGAGAAAGAAACTGATTTAAAAATGGAGGAGAGGTCAATAAAAAACGGGTTTGGTACGTTTCAGCTTAGACCATTTGGTGTCACTGATTCGGCGCGGCTGGATTCGGCGTCAGAAAAATAATTGAACTATTCGGCACAGCCGTTTAGGCGTTAGACTGTTTCGACATTACTGTCTTTGAGCGGAGGCAAAAAAAAAAAAAAAAATGATAAAAGCATTGAAAACACCCAACTTTCAATATGACTTTTTATTCATTTCGGGATTTTAGAAACCTATTAAAACACTAATAGAATAAAGTAAATTAAAACCTTAAAATATTGTATTTCAAAAATAATTTAAAAACTTAGAAAATCTATTTAATCTTAGATATTATTTCTTCATTTCGTAATTATGAGCAACACCCTTCAGGATTTCAATAGGATCTAATGATTCAAATTCCATTATGACGTTTTTGGTTCGTTCGTCAGCATCTCTATATTCCTATAAAAAGAATACCCGCTCGGCCCGGTGGCTAGGATCAAAGTGTAGTATCTGCGCTTTGTGAGCTGCTGGGTCGGGTGTCTGTCGAACTCTCTGTTTGCAGAGAGGAACCCGGACGAAGCTCCGCCGAAGGGTGGGGTTTCGTTGGGGGAGGTTGACGGAACTGGCCCGCCTCGGCGGGTTTGGATGGTTATTTATTTTTGGCTGGGCCTACGGCTCAGAGATGCCCACATTAAAAAGGCCTTGTGCCACATTCGATCCCCGTGGGTGGATTGATAAACACCATCTATATTCCTTTTGGAATAAACCGGCTTAGACAACTGAAAAATATGAATCTACACTAAAGGAAATATAATATAAACATATCTCCAACTAATCTTTCTTCTTAAATTTAAAAATGCCTCCAACTATTCATATTCTTAAATATAAAATGCCTCCAACTAATCTTTTTCTTAAAATGGACTATTCGAGAATATAACGACGAAGTACTAATTTGACGACTAAAAGAGAAAGAGAGAGAGAGAGACAGAGAGAGACAGAGAGAGACAATCAATTTGGCAATAACGATGAAGTATTAATCTGACGCCTAATCGTCCCTCCGCCGAAAAACTTCTCAATTGAATCGGCTACGCCAAGGCGACCACGCCGAATCAGCGACGCCAAATGGGCTACGCCGGAACGTCCCATTTCCATAAAAAAAAAAAACACAAAAAAAAAAACACAGAAATAAAAAACAGAAGATAATGATTGACATTGCTTTTAAATTTTTCATGATCAAATTTGACTGGAAAGCAAGAAGCAGGAAGTGACCTTCAAAAAAGGCGAAATGCGAGCGATGAAGAGGTTAGCATAGAACTTACGGTTACATATAACAATTTCACATGTAAAATGATGAGACCTAACTGCCAATTTAGCACAGCGCATGAATTCATAAACTCGCGATAGCACAGAGGAAAGCTCATCCCGTTATTAATATGTTTATAAAAAATACGTATGGGTGAAAGGTTACGGCGGCAGGAACGTCACTGAACTGCGTATGTGTAATTTCCAAATCTCTCTCTCTCTCTCTTTCTTTCTTTCTATCTATTTATTTATCTCTCTCTCTTTCTTTCTTTCTATCTATCTATCTATCTATCTATCTCTTTCTTTCTATCTATCTATCTATCTGTCTATCTTTCTTTCTTTCTTTCTATCTATCTATCTATCTATCTATCTATTTCTCTCTCTCTCTTTTTCTATCTATCTCTCTTTCTTTCTATATGTCTATCTATCTCTCTCTCTCTTTCTTTCTCTTTCTTTCTCTCTCTCTCTCTCTCTCTATATATATATATATATATATATATATATATATATATATATAAACATAAAAGTCAACACTTAGAATCAACAGTCTGTTTCATGCTAGACGCAAATGAGTGCTGTTATTTTTCTCGGCAATTGATGTATATGTGTCAGTGGTGTTGTGGGTAGTCTATTTTGGCGGTTATTTTAAACACACACACACACACACACACACACACACACACATATATATATATATATATATATATATATATATATATATATATATATATAAATATATATATATATCTGAAGATTTTAATTTTTAATAAGCAGATTTTTTTATATATATGATGGCATACGAAAGAGAGATATAAACTGGTCGAGGAATCTATATATATATAAATATGAAAGAATATTAATATATGTCTGAAGATTTTAAGACATTTAATATTTTTATTGTTCAAAAGATATATATATTTTATATATATTTATATATATATAAATAAACTGGTCCTCTTGAAAAAGAGAGAGAGAGAAAGAGAGAGATTATTTAGAGAGATGCATAATCGAAAAATAGAGACAGAGAGAGTGAGATGCATAGATAGATAGAGACAGAGAGAGTGAAATATATATATATATATATATATATATATTCTATATATGACGTTTAAATGTGTATGTGTGTGTGTGTGTGTGTGTGTGTTTATATATATATATGTATGGATCACTGTCACAAAATATGTGCGTGTATATTTTGTATATGTGCTCATGAGCTTTTGTATGTATGTATGAAAAGCTACGTAAGTAGGAGGGATCGAGGGTGATATCTTATATATATATATATATATATATATATATATATATATATATATATATATATATATAAAAGAAAGAACAGTAAGATATATAATTCGGTGTTCTTATAGATATTTTTATTTTTACAAAATAGTGCTCAATGTAAATTTACAGAGCATTAATAAAACCAGTAATTTTAAAAGTTACTCCAAAATTCGCTTGAGGATGAGATGGAACTAATGTCTTTGATTTAATTACAAAATTAAATTCGGAGCTTTCAGCTTCCATTTTTGAAACATGGTTAGAACTGTGTAGCGAAAAAAAATACCATATCTTAAATCAATTAATTTATAATATATATATATATATATATATATATATATATATATATATATATATATATATATATTTATATAGTTAAAAATCCATGGGTAAGTAATCCAAGTAGATCCTATTAATATAAAATATTAAAACTGGTCCGCAAATGAGAGCTCAATATAATTTTTTATTACAGAGTAATACAAGTAAATTACAATCAATGAAACCCAAACGTATTACCCCATATTAAATATTTTACTTACCAAATTTCACTATATTTTTACTATATAATTAAAGATATAGCCTTGAAGAAATTAATATTAATATCGTTTTATAAACAATTTTTTTTCATACAATAATTATATAATATTATTAGATTTAAATTCTTATTTCCATTTTTTACCGTTTAAACTCCTCTTTGGAATTTTTAGGCTCATTTTGTTTTCGTTTTTACTTTTTTTATGCGTTGAGATGTTAAATTATAGGACATCGTTCATCTTCAACTGTCGTTTTTTATCAAGACCAATTCCACCATAATCACTTGAATCTCTTTACCTCTCTATATCTCTATAAATCCCTTCTCCTTTATATGTTATTTATTACTTACTCTCTCTTTTAATGTATCCCTCTTTCTCCCTTCTATCATTCCTTTACTTTTCCTTTTCCTTTGCAAAAACGTGGGAAATCATTTATTTTAACAAATATATTTGCATTGACAAGCCCAGGGAATTTCTTTCCCCTGAGGACGAAATGGCCATCTGTATGGGGTAATTTGTTTGTTTTCTTTGGGTAATTTACTTTTATATATATATATATATATATATATATATATATATATATATATATATATATATATATATATATGTATGTATGTAAGCAAATGTAAATGGATATAGATCCGACAGAATGAAGAAAAATTTGGAAAAAACAAACAAAAATCCTTAAATGCAATTATGTTGTTTAAAATGAATGAAATGTCGACGTCTGACGTTTCGGTTTAATAAACCTTCTTCAGGACAATATTCATTAAAATACAATTCAGTTCAATTTGACAAAGACGATGGACATAAAAAACAAGTCTTATCCAAAACAGATAACTGAAAATTTTTAAAATGATCAGCTCTCCGTTTAGCATGGTCACATTGTCGTCACATGGGCGACGCTTTCAAAACGTATTCCTAAAAATTTGGAAA